GATGCCGCATGCATGCAGTGGAATGCGCACAGAGAACGGACGGCAAGAGAAGGCAAGGGAAGGAAGATAAACGGCTGGTGAAGCTCAGCTCACGGCGTAGTATTGCGGTCACTAACCATTCACGGCAAGAGTCACGGTGAATGCTGCCGCATAAAAGCAACAGAGTCGCGGTTGGCGCGATGGTCTTGTCGCGGTTATATAACGACTTGACGTTGCACACGGCCATAGACGCAGTATCTGTTTGGCGAGCCTCAAGCAGCGAAAGCAGGCGCGAGAAATTAATGTCAATCCTGAGATCTCAATTTTGGCGCTAGTTTCGTTTTCTGGTACATCATTGGGTCTCATGTAGCTCTCGACGGCTCTTCGACGGCTCTTTCTGGTTGGATCAGACAGTGCTATCAGTCAACAACACAATGCCGAGAGCAGGGCGGCCTTCGAGCAGCGCAGGGCGGCCTTCGAGGCAACTAAGTTCCTGCTGCATTTTTCATCGTACAACTTGATGGCGGGCGGACGTGTCGAGCATGGAAGGCGGCCATTGCTCAAACCTGTTCGAGTTGGCCTCCGGGAACAAGGGTGCGTGGCCGGCGCGGTCTGTTTCACGTGCAATAAGGGCAACGCCATCAAAATCGCGAACATGGGCCGACATGCCTCCGACATTTCTCAGGGCTCGCGGACGGAAGCTCTGCAGACAGCCAGACCGCTCTGCGCGGTCGGACCGACTTTTTCAGACTTTGCTATTCTGGATACTGAGGGTATGTGCTGCTAGATCTCACTGAGCTGAGCTCGTATCTGGCTTTGGTAAGCAGTTTTGAGTTCGGTAATGTCTCCGGAGACGGAGGGCCGCGTCCGCGGACGACCATGACGTCGGCCGGGATCCCCCCGTGCGGGGGCCTTCGACGCGCCGTTTTTACGATACTTGCTTCAGCTACGTGCGTGAATGGGAGGTGTGATGCAGCATCCAGGCGTTAAAGAAGACGACATGAATTGTTCACAGAGAATGTGTGTTCAGACCTTTGCGCGGGGGGGGTGAACAGCCATTCCGCGTGGTTGAGGGGTTGAAGGGGTCTGTCAACCACTTGGTTGAGGGTTGAGGCCTCTGTCAACCACGTGGTTGACAGTTGAGGCAATCGGCCTCAACCACCGCTCTGAGTAGACTTCACGCGAAAACACAATGGTCTCGAGGTTTAGGTTCGTTGTTAGCAGATAAAGGCACGCACTCGAGGTGTGGAGAATAAAATCCCTCTCATCTCACTGTCCACCTTCGGTCGGTTCGTTACTCAAACGCAAAAAAGAAAAAGTGCTGCTGCCAAGTTCGGAGTCAATCAACCCGCCGGAAGCCTGCGGCCTGACGAGAAGCGACTGTCTGTATATGGTGTACCATGACCTCAACCAAGCTCACCAAAGCGCTCACCACGCTTGCGCACATCGGACTGGCCGCCACGCTCATCGTCCTGCAGAAGAGGTCGATGGGCACCTCAATCATCGCCGCCAGCCTCACTGGCCTACACAATGGAATGTTGTTGGGGGTAGTCGGGCCTCGTCAAGGCCAGCTACGCTGGTGGTGGGTGCCAGACCCTGCACATGAGCCATCCGGAGTGCTGCTGTTCCTCATAGTTGGCATTGCCGAGTTCCTCGCCGTCGGCGTGGTAGGCTACGAGCCCGCATTCAGGGATGCATACGGCGAGCGGTCCGTCGTCGACCGGTTGTGGCTGTGCTTCGTGCTGATCACAACCGTCGGCTATGGTCACTCGTACACGCCTCCGACGCCCATCGACCGCTGCTTCACTATGGTGTGGGCCCTTTATGGACTCTTCATTTTCGGCGCGAGCAGCGGCGTGCTGGTGGAGGCCTCCGGGACCTGTTGCGCAATTTGAAGAATGTCGCCAAAGGCGGTAAACATAGGCCGCAACGGCGCTACCCCCACTGCTCTCTCCGCACCATTGGACCTTTCTCGCCGTCTGGAACCCATGGAAGGCCCCCTTCATGTCTCTACCTTCCCCCAGCTTCTACTCC